TGTGTTCGGGCCATCGAAGATAGCGATAAACTTATCGCATCGATTTTGATTAAATTCAAATTTTGGAAACACTAGGTTCTGAGCTTCTTCGAGTACTAAACCGTTACCCTGGGAAAATTGGTTTTTTCCATGCAGCCATGGTTAAAAATGACGAAAAAAATAGACCCTTACTTTAAAATAGTACTTTGTATGTGCCTTATTTACCCCTAAATAAATTGGGCGCAGAAAATATCAATGAAGTGTATTGATAAGCGGCACGGCACCCCTTTCCACCAAAAGAGTGAAAAATTCCGACCCGCGCTTAGTACAGAAATGACAGCCCGTCGGGCTGAGGGTGTCAAATTGCTCAAAATACGGAAGGAAACTCCGGTCCGAGACCTTAAGAAGACGGCGCATGCGCAGAAAATGACGTCATCGATGACGTAAATTCGATTGATTATAATGTTTCCAGCCGAAGCTGTCAGATTCTGCAAAAAAAATGCATCATTTTACTGTTTTGGGGTCCAAAAGTCCGGATATGTATGTCGGGTCCTAGGCGCCCCCCTCCCCCTTTGCCGAATCTCCGTGAAGGGCAATTTTAATCGTTTCTGGACGATAAAATGTTCTCAAATGAATTCACTTTTTATGTCATTTCACGTGAGTCGACCTCTAAATTTGATTTCCGCATAACTTCGGCCAAGTCTCTCCATTTATGGTGACTACAACAGACATTTTACAGCAAAATTCGAGTGTTTTAGGCCTATTTAAGGCAAAACTAGGTTTTCTGATTTTCGGTTCAGGGCTCCTTAAAATCGCGAACTTCTTTTCGTTGGCTGGTGTTAAGTGATAGCCTAATAAGTACTTCACGCAACTTTGCAGCATTTATTTCAACTAATCGCTCCTTAGCCACGGCAGCATCACCCAGATTGTGTTTTGCGCCTCGTAAGAACGCAGTGTTTCACACATTTAAGGTGCGCTGTGCTACTTAATAGGCCATTCACGGTAAAGTAGTGAAGAGTTTGGTGTCGGACTCGTTTGATTCGGAAAGTGCGAGCTCAGTTCTATCACTCAAGGTCAAAATCTGACGTATTCTTCATTTTAATGTAAAGCGGTGAAGCAAAAACGCGACCCCCTGCTGTTTAACTTGGACAACGCATGACGTCACTGCGTGACGTCATCGATCCCAACTTTAAAGAGGTTTCCCGCAAGTATGCAGCACTGAAAGGACGATAAAACCACATCTATCCCTAGCCAATGACCAGAGCGGGCGTTTCCTTCCGTTTTAACTGATTTGAGAAAAGCGAAACCCCCAAAAACGGTACTTTTTAATTTCTCCATTGTAAAGCTGCCTAGGCGCCGCGTCTTGGCAAAAGTAGCCATAGAACACAGTGTTTTTCATATGACTTTAAACCGCTGCCGCGGGAAAAGTAATGATCGCATACAAGCCAAATTTGGATATATGATAGATATAATGTTTCTGAAGAATATTAAAAATTTTTAATGAAAATTAATCTCCTTAAGGTTCCGGGTCGGAGTTTAATTCTGACCAGAGTCTAAGTAAGTGCGCAGTAAATCGCCGGAAACGTGACTTTGTATGGTATGTTTTGGCCGCGATATCCCTGAAATCGTAATATCTGTGTACATATCTTTGTATTTTCTGAAAAGCCTGTTAGTTGTAGCCTTTATAGGTGGCGTAATGTTGGTGGTCCAGCGAAGACTTCCTGGTATCAGTCCGCGCGGATGGTTATGTGGCGTTTTCGCCTGACCGCCGGGATGGTACGTTCTATATGCGTTGTGGGTGTGTTCGGGCCATCGAAGATAGCGATAAACTTATCGCATCGATTTTAATTAAATTCAAATTTTGGAAACACTAGGTTCTGAGCTTCTTCGAGTACTAAGCCGTTACCCTGGGAAAATTGGTTTTTCCATGCAGCCATGGTTAAAAATGACGAAAAAAATGACCCCTTATTTAAAAATGTACTTTGATGTGCCTTATTTACCCCTAAATAAATTGGGCGCAGAAAATATCAATGAAGTGTATTGATAAGCGGCACGGCACCCCTTTCCACCAAGAGAGTGAAAAATTCCCACCCGCGTTTAGTACAGAAATGACAGCCCGTCGGGCTGAGGGTGTCAAATTGCTCGAAATACGGAGGGAAACTCCGGTCCGAGACCTTACGCCACTTATTCCTGACAGGATAAGCTATCTGTCACCAAAAAGTCAAGACCATAGCTTGTTCAGGACAAAAGATACAAAAACCTGAAGTTCTGCTGCAGTACCAAGGTCATGTGCGGAAACACAAACACACACACACACACACACAGACAGGCCAAAAACAATACCTCCATTTTCATGGAGGTAATAATGTACCATTGCAAATTACCTATGCTAACAGTGATTGTGCAACTGACTAACAGTAACTGTGTGAATTTGCATCACAAACATGGAAAATACACCTTCTTCCCTTCAAATCTGGAAAAACACCATGCAGACACATATTGCAGTTACTGCTGTACAGGTTGCCTGTAATCTGTCTGAAGGAGGGTAAACTCACAGTTTTGGGCCTGTTTTCTCGGACAAAGTTCTTAAGGTTGCCCCCACTCATGAGTTCCAGGATAAGGAACCTTGGTGACTGCTTGAAGCACACCCCAATGCACCGCACAATGTTGGGGTGGTCAAACTTACTACAAGGAAACAGGTAGATGGAAAATATCAATCATAATCAGCTAACGTTACTTTACCAAAGACAAAGCATTTCACAAAATCACACATCTTCCGAATTCCATAAATAGATGTATTTTCAAATTGTTCTGTTCCACATACTTCTGGACCCAGCATGTTGAATGTGTCTGCTTTATTCTGTCATTTTCACATTGCCTAATGCTTTAAAAGTAATTGTTGAGCAGATCTACAAGGCTCAGAGAGTAAAATATCACAATATCATATTAACATTTTGCTTACAAAATGGAAAATGTGCAAAATGAACAGCATGAAGATTTGTCTATTTAAAGAAATGAACATTGCAATCAGTAATGAGTCCAAGATACTAAATTCTGCCATCCCAGCTGGAGTGCATAGAAGATGTGGCCTCCTAGAAATGACTCGTCTATAATTACTAAATGGTGGAAACATGATTAAACCAGCAACCACATCCTCAATGTAAAGAACCCTTTGTAAAACAACATTCATCACAGGAACAATAGATGCTATTGATCTGGTACTTTCCTGCAGAAGTGCACACTCTGAATACAAATGTGTCTCCCAGTGCTTACCTGATAATGAGAGCCTCCATCAGGAAGTCCATCTCGTCCTGTTCAGAGCACAGCTCAGGAAGTGTCTGTTAAGGAACAAAGCCATGTTACCGACATAGACATGCAGAGATTGTCAATATAGCAAATTCTCAAAGATAGAAGAACTTTATTGCACGACAATTGTACAGGGTACATTGTATGGCAAATACTAGTAGGTAACAATAAGTAGCATAGTAAAATACTATTAGATAGGTATAGAATAAAACTCAAAGATATGGGATCATGGAGGTCACCATCAGATCACATTATTTCCCCTTTTCTGATTGTGATGTGCTAGTTTTCATTTGTCAAGAATAATTGTACATGTCTGACAGGAAGACATCATTCAAGTTATAGCTAGAGTGCCATTTAGCATCTTTCAAATTCAGATTATATGACCTTATGGCAATGCCAATTTAATTTCTTAGTTCTTGGATTTGCTACTTAATTTTTTCTATTTGAAGAAAAAAAAGAATTAAAAGATCACAATTTGGCTCCTGTGGAAAACTTTTGTATCATGTTGGCATAGTGCATGATTTCCCTGAGAAAATCTAAGAATCAATACAACTGGTCTGGCAAAGAAATCATTGATTTATGTGGGGGTGGAGGAAACCTCACTCTGACAGAAGCCTTCAGGCCTTGGATGGATCTCATTACTGCAGATCTGCTACACTCCACTGCATTTGAAATGTCAGTTATACAACTGTTTTTATAAGGAGTCTTATCGTACTTGACAACGTATCCTTTAACTGTAACAGGTACACAAGCAACATACTCAGTTTTAGGTATATAGCATAGCACGAGGGGCAGAAGTCTGGGACCTTTACCTTTACAGCCACAGCAAGGTGTGGCTTCTCCCCAGGCATGCTCTTCAACATCCCCTCATACACCTCGCCAAAGGCACCCTGGCCAAGAGGTCTGTGAAGAGAATTTCCAATAAGGTACTCAAATCATACTTGTATAATAGAATCTAAAAAGAGGATGAAAAATAAGACACTTAAATATGTTCATATTGAGACATAATATCAATATTCTCAAAAGAGATAACTGTTAGGCCACACCAAGTAAATTTTATGGATGACGTCCGCGCGCGCATTGGTTTTGGCCTGTTCCTAGAAAAAAACCCAAGAAATTCCGCTTCCTGTAACTATGACCAAAGAGTCACGACAGTGCCGCAAATCGTTAGATTGATGTAAAACCCGTAACGGGAAATGGGTAAAGAGCACATGCTTTGTTTCTGCAGGCCTGCAAAAATGTGAAAGAAACAGGACAGGACGACAACTGCTGTTCCACCTGATTTATTGCTGTTTTGATGATGAATAAAAGACTTCTTGCTTGTTAATCTGTGTCACCTCATTCAATTTGTGTCCTAACATTTGTCGTCTCTTAGTATATTTCTAATCTAGGCATCTTGTTTTTAAGGGCCCTTCTTGTGTTTTTTTCGCCCTCTCGCATTAGATATAGGGTCTCCAAAGGACGTCATCCATAAAATTTACTTGGTGTGGCCTTACAAGTAAAAACACAACAACCCATATTCTTTATAGATACCAATGTCAGTGTGATTACAGATACATTGTATAAGCCATGTTCTACAACTTACAGTTATAAACCATACTTTAATGACCAAAACAGGTCAACAGTCAGGTTTTCAGCAGCATCTGCTGGGTGGAAGATTGGTGGATTGTTTTTTCAAAACTTGAAACTATCCACGGTATGAGCAGTGATGCTTGATTGGAGTCCAGGAGATTGAGATTCAGGAGGAAAACCAAAGATACAAAACCAAGCACCCCCAAGATTAAGTTGACTCTAGTGGCTTTGTAAGCCAGTACCCTCTAGTGTACAGTACAAAAAGTGGTGAATCAAACCTGATAAGGGATAGCTTGTCCCGAGGGATCTCATGAAGGTCGTTTAGTGTGACCTGGCTGCCTCCAAAGGTGTAGTTGGGGTTATAGTCGGTGATGATGGTGTGGTTTCTCAGCTTACTCAGCTGATATTCTGGGCTCTGAATCTCCTGACGAGCCTCCTTCAGCTGCTTCTGCTTACGGCGGTACACTGCAGGGAAAAATGTTTGTCTCTTTGATACTTTACTTTGTATGATATCATGAAGTAAATGTACAAGCTCAAAGGCATTCCACAGTTACTCATAAGGAAATGTGCAAGGCAAGGCATTTATATTTAGAACCCTGGTTTGCTCTTCCTAGTACTGTAGCATAATTTTTGAGAGGATATCGGCTGTAACGTTGAATTATGAAGATCAATTTTTAACAACTCTCGTTATATTTGTGCCGTGGAAAGATAAAAAAAGACAGTTCAGATTTTCTATATTTGTACTGTACCATGAATACATTTTTACGAATAAAGTTGTGGCATACGAGATCGTGAGTGCATTGTTTGTCTTGTGTGCCATCAGCGCTATTCCGGACTATCGCATATGCCAGGTAACTGTATAAAATGCGCTGACAAATGGGCTATACAAATATGCGGAATCCTCTGTAGTACCTGTCTGTGGTGCTGAAAACTAAGATGTGGAGGAGGAAACACCTGTACATGGATACTTACCAAACACCACTGCCAGGATTGCCAGGATCAGGACAAACAGTACAATAGACGAGATGACAGCTGCCAAGATTGAAATGTCTGAAATAGATAATAAGATGGAGATTTCAAACAAACTTATCTTGGCCTCATCTGGTGCTCTATCAACCACCATGTTTATGTTCTATATATGGTGGGGGGGGGCTTTTGAATGACCATTTTCCAAGTAATCATGTAAAATTTCGGACATCATATCTATTGGGCGAGAGAGCTTTATTGCTATCATCAATCAACATTTGTGCACTAACTCCTCTGAATTGATTAGAAGATATTGCAAGTAACCTGAGATATCTTCTCATACCAGGTCAATTAGGAATGGTCTGGTGAAATGTGTTTTCATATTAACTCAAATATCACTGGTCAAATGCAATATCTTTTCATTTGACAGGGCAACTGCAATAACTTTTTTATATGACTGGTCAACTGTAATATCTTTTTGTACAATGACTGGTCTTTACTTCCCGCTACTTGTTTTAATATACAATGTATTACAGGATATCTGAACAGTGTCAACCCTTTCTCAGATGCAAAATATTACCTCTACCAAATGAGACATTTTCTTCAATTTTCAATC